TAAATAATCACCTCACCACAAATATAATTACACTAATACTGACGATGTCGCTGCTTGCGGTAGTGTCATTCCCTATCATACAAAAAAAAAAAAATAATTATAAAGTACCTGAGAGCACTCACTGACAGATACTCCACTCCTCTCTCACTCACACACCAGTCACTCACTCGTATTTGTTACCGCCGCCTCTGACCCCACATGACAACAACATAAACACAACACTAACATACATACATCAACATATAACCAACAGCAACTAGCCCGTAGCGAGACTTAAATATATGTATAATAAATAAATCATATAATTTTTTAATATACTATTATAGATATGATTATATAATGATATTAGTATATATATAATATAATATATATATATATCCTATAGTCTAATCTTACTCTATCTTATATATATATAAATATATATATACTATATATAATAAGTAGAAATATATATAATATACTCTATATAACTATTCACTATATACATATCTATATTGAATACGATAGGATAAATGACACAGACACATAACACAAAACACAATACACACACACACACTACACACACACACAGCCACACACACACACACAAGACACACAAGACACCACAAACAACACCACACCACACACACATACACATACACAGCAGCATACACACACTGAACAACATACACACAACAACACACACAATGACACACCACAACACACACACACACACACAGCACACACACAACACACACACAACATGGCACACACACAACACACACGCGCACACACGACTACATATATATATATTTTTATATATCATATATATATATATATTATATATATATATATATAGTATATATATGTTATATACATACATATATTTATATATATGTGTGTATGTGGATATATATATATAATACTATTAATATAAAAAAAAATTTTTTATATAGTATTATATATACTATGTTATATATATATACATATGTATATATACATATATATATATAATATATATATTATATATATAAGAAAATTTTAGATACGAGTGAGGGAGTGATGTTGACGTAGGATAGAGAGGATAGATTAGTAGATTAGAGTAGGGACTTAATGTAGATATACACTGATGATATACTACAGATAACACACGCACACGACACACATTGCACACAACAGCAAACACACACACAAAACACACACACACACACACAACAACACACACACACACACACACACACAAGCACACACACACACACACACACACACACAGACACACCGCACACACATACACACACTACACACATCACAAACAATATATATATATATATATATATATATATATATATATATATATAATATATATGTATATATAGTATAATATATATATATATAACATATATATATATTACATATATGATATATATATATAGTATATATATATATATATATATTATATAGTATATCATATAGTATATATATATATGACACTAGAGTAGGTAAATACAGAACATACAAACACACACACAACATCACACACAACAGGCACGACAGCACACATCACACATACACGCACACAGCACACACAACACAGCACACACACACACACACCACACACACACACATCATGCCACACACACAGGCAAGCAACACAAGATAGGCACAGCACCCGCCAACACAACACATGTAATAGTTATACATGATATATTATATATATATATATAATTATATATATATTTATTATATATATATTATATAAATATTTATATCATATATATATATATACTATATCATTTTTATATATATATATACATACATACATATGATTCATATATGCGTGTGTGTATGTGGTATATATGTTATATATTATAGTGTACTGATGGTATGTAGTATATACATATAGTATAATATATATATAGTATAGTATAGTATATACTATAAATATATATAGTATTAGTATATATATATATATTATATTATATATATATATATATTATATATAGTATTACGTATAGTTTATGTATTATGTATATGTATGTAGGTATATTACCAAATAAAAACAATAAAAAATTAACCAAAATACCAAAAAATAATAAAATGTTAAAATAGTATATATATATATACTATATATATATATATATTATATAAATATATATATTATATATATATATATGATATATATATATATATCTAGTTAATATATATATATATCTGTGTGTGTGTGTGTGTTTCATCAATTATGGTATATGCTATGCGTGTGTGTGTCTGTGGGTGCATGCATATATATATATATATATATATATACTATATATATATATATATATATATATATATATATATATCACCATATGTCGTATGTGTGCCGTCAGATATGTATGTATGTATGTAATATATGCTAATATATAATATATATATATATATATATACTTTATATTATATTATAATATAATATATATATACAATTTGTACCTATATATATATAATTATATACATATAATATATATAATATATATATATTATA